GAGCTGGGATCTAGAGGGTTTCTGTCAATAATCCATAACTGCTCTCATCTGTAACGATATTGATGGCAGGGGATTCAATGATGACTGTACCAATTATGCTCATGTTTTGCAATGCGTAGAGAGGTCGCGCCTCAAAAATACACTGAACTGTTCCATAAGAAGTAGCAACAGAAATAAAGGTGAACATAACTATGAGCTGTTAATTAGAATAAACTGAAGAAAATAACGCGGTAAATCATCCAAGTCAGACTACAATAAGACCATTTCAATTATTAAGAGAAAAAAAAAGTAGAAACATCAATCAGGAGAATAATTATGGGAACGAACTGTTTGATTTTTCACCAATATTTTCAAACTGTTTCATAAGAAATGTCCCTAACCACAATAAATATTGCAAATATTACAGGAGAAAGACAGCTCTGGAGTTGTCCTTTTGGTTCTGGCCTATACAGCTAAACAGGTTGAAGAGAACTAAAGAAGACGTACACAGAGTAGTGTAGACAGATTCTTTTTACCAGCATGAGAATCAAGGGCGGTGGGAAAAAGACAGGAAAGTGGAGCTGAGGATTATCAGATCAATCATGATCTCATTGAAAGTTGGAGCAGGCTCAGTGTCCTCAATGGCCTACTTCTGCTCCTACATCATATAGTCTTATGATCTTAAAGTGACAAAGTATTGTTCCAGTTTTGATATTAAGTTGGTGTTGTTACGAATTTTGTGTTCTTGTGTTACACAGGCTCTCTCAGGTTCAGCATTTATGTTTGTTCCTGTAGAGATTGTAACAAGATCAACCAGGTGGATCTCATAGAATATGAGTTCCATGATTGAGGCTGTTAATCTGGTCCAATCAAGGAGCTCTGGCTGACAGATCTGAGAGCTGGCTCTGAGGGAGCTGGATCAGTGACTTGGTGACGGGTTATCAGTCTCTGTGGAGTTATTTCAGTTCCTAAACTTTTCACAATCAGTATTTAACCTTCACTGCCAATATCCATTGATGTGGTACTACATTCCAGGAGATACAGCATAGAAACAGACCCTTCAATCAACATAATCAGAACATAATCCCAAACTAACCTAGTCCCATCTGACTGCTCCATATCCCTCCAAACCTTTCCTATTCATATACCCATTCAAATGTCTTTTAAACATTGTAATTGTATCCGCATCCATCGCTTCATCGGGAAGTTCATTCCACAAGTGAACCACCCTCTGTGTAAAATATTTGCCTCTTACATCTTTTTTAAATCTCTCTCCTCTCACCTTAAAAATGTGCCCCCTAGTCTTGAAATTCCCCATCTTAGGGAAAAGACAACTGCGATTAACTCTATCTATACCTTTCATTATTTTATAAACTTCTATAAAGCACTTCTCAATCTCTTCTGCTCCAGTGGAAAAAGTCCCAGTCTATCCAATATTTCTTTATAACTCAAACCTTCCATACCCATCAATATCCTGGTAAATCTCTTCTGAACCCTCTCCAGCTTGATAATATCCTTCCTGTAACTGGGTGACCAGAACTGGATACAGTATTCCAGAAGAGGCCTCAACAATGTACTGTACAACCTTAACATAATGTCTCAACTCTGAGCAATGAAGGCAAGCGTGCCAAAAGCCTTTTTAACCATCCTGTTGATATGTGACGCAAACTTTAAAGAATTATGTACCTGCACCTCTCGGTCTCTCTGTTCAACAACACTACCTAAGGCCCTACCATTAATTGTGTAACCCGTACCCTTATTTGTTGTACCTCGCATTTATCCAGATTGAACTCCATCTCCCATTTTTCAGCCCATTAATCCATTTGATCAAGATCCCTTTGTAATCTTAGAAAACCTTCTTCACTGTCTACAATGCCACCAATTTTGGTGTCATCCGCAAACTTACTAACCATGCCTCCTATATTCTCATCCAAGTCATTTATATAAATGACAAACAAGAGAGGACCCAGAACCGATCCCTGTGGAACACCGCTGGTCACAGGCTCCAGTCTGAAAAGCAACCCTCCCCCATTATTCACTGTCTCTTGCCATTAACCCAATTATGCATCCAATTGGCAAGCTCACCCTGAATCTCATGTGACCTAACTTTACTAATTAATCTACCATGCAGAACCTTCTCAAAGGCTTTACTAAAATTCAAATAAACAACACCGACTGGTCTGCCATCATCAACCTTTTTGGTAACTTCCTCAAAAAAACTCAATCAAGTTTGTGAGACATGATTTTCCTCGCACAAAACCATGCTGACTATCCCTAATCAATTTTTGCCTCTCTAAATGTCCACAAATCCTATCTCTTATAGTCACCTCCAACAACTTACCCACAAATGAAGTCAGACTCACAGGTCTATAGTTCCCCGGTTTCTCCTTACAACCTTTCTTAAACAAAGGTACAACATTAGCCACCCTCCAGTCATCAGGCACCTCACCCGTAGTTATAGATGATGCAAATATTTCTGCAAGGGGTCTCATAATTTCCTCCCTTACTTCCCACAACATTCTGGGATACATTAGATCAGGTCCCGGAGATTTATCTGCCTTTGTATTCTCTAAGACCACCCAAACTTCCTCTTCTGTAATGTGAGCTGTTTTTAAAACATCAAAGTTTATTTTTCTGAATACTCTAGACTCCATTTCTTTCTCCACAGTAAAAACAGACGCAAAATATTCATTTTGTTTGTGAAAATGTAAGAATGTATAAAAAGGACCCTCTAAAACAAATATAGGCTTTTTTAAATTTCTGAATTAAGAATAAATAAAAACCTCAGCCATTCACAGTAGACGCTTAAAAAATTGTTTTTAAGAAAAGTCCATTTGAAAAAAATGAAATGTGTCAACAATGCGCAACATTAGGCATACAGCGTATTGTGATCTCACACATAGTGCTTGTGAAATTCTCCATCTTTAATATTGTTCAGCTGAAAAATCAGAGAGTGCCCAATTGTAAGTTGACAAACTGATTGATTTCCTATGTGGTATCAGAATACACTGTATCATTTTCAGTGTGTTCCAATCCATGTCTCACCAAATAATACTTTAGACATTACCTCTTCACATGGACCTACTATCATTCTTGGCAAGTGAGCATGCATTGAACATACTGGCACTAATCTGAGATAGAAAGAGTCCTTTTGCTTGGAAGACTGATTTCAATTTCTTACATTTTACCAGCACAAGAGAAATCCAGAGTTTGACCTGTGAACTTCTCAGACTTCCTGAGTTCTCTGCATCAATAATTGATCAACAAAGACAACATTCCCTGGTATTAATGTCCTGGCAAAACATTGTCAACTATGCCTCTTACTGAACTGAGTGAAAGGAAACCTTTTTAATAGTTTGAGTATTCCTATGATGCATAATTTAACCCAACCCTCCCATACCAATAAGGGAAAGAACAAATTCAATTCCTTTTGAGGAACCTCATCAACATTTCCAACAGGGCTGCTTTTCAGACTGGAGGCCTGTGACCAGCAGTGTGCTGCAAGGATCGGTGCTGGGTCCACTGCTTTTTGTCATTTATATAAATGATCTGGATGTGAATACAGGAGGTACAGTTAGGAAGTTTGCAGATAACACCAAAATTGATGGTGTAGTAGACAATGAAGAAGGTTATCTCAGAGTACAATGGGACCTTGATCAGATGGGCCAATGGGCCATTGAGTAGCACATGGAGTATAATTTAGATAAGTGTGAGTTACTGCATTTTGGAAAGGCAAATCAGGGCAGGACTTATACACTTAATGGTAAGGTCCTGGACAGCGTTGTTGAACAAGGAGACCTTGGGGTGCAGGTTCATTGTTCCTTGAAAGTGGAGTCACACGTAGACAGGGTAATGAAGAAGATGCTTAGTACGCTTGCCTTTATTGGTCAGTGCATTGAGTTTAGGAGTTGGGAGGTCATGTTGTGGCCACTGGTTAGACCACTTTTGGAATATGGCATTCAGTTTTGGTCTCCCTAGTATAGGAAGGATGTTGTGAAACTTGACAGGGTTCAGCAAAACTTTACAAGTATGTTGCCAGGGTTGGAAGGTTTGAGCTATAGGGAGATGCTATAGGCTGGGTCTGTTTTCTCTAGATTGTCAGAGGCTGGAGGGTGACCTTATAGAAGTTTATAAGATCATGACGGTTATGGACAGGGTGAATAGTCAGGGTCTTTTCCCCAGGGTTGGGGGGAGGGTCCAAAGTTAGAGGGCATAGATTTAAGGTGACAGTGGAAAGATTTAAAACAGACCTATAAGGGATAACTTTTTCACACAGAGGGTGGTGCGTATATGGAATGAACTGCCAGAGGAAATGGTGGAGGTGGGTACAATTACAACACTTAAAAGGCATCTGGATGGGTATGTGAATAGGAAGGGTTTAGAGGAAAATGGGCCAAATGGGACTAGATTAATTTATCTGGTCAGCATGGATGGGTTGGACCAAAGGGCCTGTTTCCCTGTTGTACACCTCTATGACTCTATGACTTTAAAGCCGAGGTGTTGCCAGACTTCCAGGTGCGGAATAGTAATGTTTCTGTTACCAAGGTGGGGTAAGCAAGTGCTATCGTTGTTTCGGCATTGACACTAAGTGATCTAATTCCCTGTCCAGGGAAACTATCTTTTGTCATGGTTAGAAACTGCCTATAGGGGAATTAACACATTGGGATGAATCAGGTTCAAATTGGAAGCCATGGGACATGTTGGGTATTCCACACCTGCAACAAACTAGTCAGCAGCACCCAAAACTAATCAGTTCCAAAGTATGCAGAGTCCTGACTAGCTCCAAATTATTAATAAATGACTTGTTGACATTCTTTCTTGTCTGAAACAGGCTGGAATGATGCATCCCAGATACAAGGCATTGTAGGAAAAACCTGACTGGCAGGTTATGTGGCCCAAGATACTTGGAGCAATCAGTCTGACTGAATTGACGCTGTTGCTGAGTCACCCTGACTTACTAACTATGCGTACTTCTCTCACTCCCTCATTGCTTCCAGACTTAGTAACCCCTCCCAGTTTCCACCCAGTGATGACACCAGCACTCAAAACAAAAGTATGTTTTGATGTGCGTCCAGGAGTCCACACAGGAGAATAAGATGAAGATTAATTTGAAAGGTGATGATTTTAAAAGGACAGAGATGGTGAGACTTCCCATTTCTAATATAAAATTAGTCAGCTTGCATGTTCTTTATCTTTTGCTTCTCCTGGTCTCTAAGAGGCAAACATTTTACTTCCTGAAGTGTTTCCTATGGGAATGGTGTCAGAGTCTTATACGCAGATATATACCTTGTTCCTATATTCAGAGAGTCCTATAGTGACAGTTGTTGTTAACGTGGAACATTATAACCTCTGTGTATCAGAGTATCATAATCAGTCTCACCTATTAGAGTATACGTGATTAGTCTCGGAGTCAGTCACACAGTCGTTCGGTATGTGAGGGAGCTACAGAATAAGCATGCACAACCCAAAACTGACTAACAATCAAATTTGAAATTAAATAAAGAGAAAACTATAAGGGGAAGAGGTTCATTGAAATGCATTTGAAAATGGTGAAACACTTCAAAAAATGTCAGTGACAAAGAGGGACCTAGAAAGAAGGACGGTGTCGAAAGTAAACAATAAAATATTCTCAGTATAAAAAGAGACTGGCTGAATCTAGGGAGGTGGTGGTGAAATGGTAATGTCCCTAAGCTGGTAATCTGGAATCCCAGGATATTGTTCTGAGGTTGTGGGGTTGAATCCCACCGTAGCAAATGAAATTTTAATTCAACAAAAATCTGGAAGATAAAGCTAGTCTAATAATGATATTGTAACCATTGTTGATTGTCATTAAGAAAAAAACATTTGGTTCACTAATACCTTTTAGGGCTGGAAATCTGCCATCCTTATTTGGTCTGGCCTACATGTGACTCCAGACCACAGCAATGTGATTGACTCTTAACTGCCCTCTGGGCAATTAGGGATGGGCAACAAATGCTGCCTAGCCAGGGACACCCATGTCACGTGAACTAATTTTTAAAAAGGACCTAGATTGAAATAGAATCAGTTCATACTCTCTGGAGTTTGGAAGAATGAGAAGTGATTTAATTGAAGGTTTTGAGAGTGATTGACAGCTCAGGAGCTGTTTCCTCTGCCTGAGGGATCTAGAACTGGAGGGAATAGTGCCAGGGTATGGGGTCAGATATTCTGCACTGTGATGAGGAGAAATTTCCATTCAGAAGATTGTGATTGTTTGGAACTTCTTTTCCCAAAGGTTCATGGATGATCAGCTGCTGAGTTAAACCAAGACAGAGATCAATAAATTATTGGATTTTAAGAGAATTAAGGGATATGGAAATCAGATGCAAAGGTGGAGTTGAAGCTAAATATTAGTCACCGTCTTGTTAAACACTGGAGCTGCATGGAAAACAATATGGCCTACTCCTTCTACTTCATTTGCTCTTATATCAAAGACAACTCTCGAAGTTTGAAAACGAGCTTCAAACAGAGGATGACTGCAAAGCAGTGCGTATTCTAAATTACATCAAGTATGGACAAAGACAATGCGCTATTAGATAAAAAGAAGTGAATGGGAATTAATAAAATAGCTCTTTCTAGGAGCATGCAAGGCCCCAGTGAGCCAAATGGCCTCTTGGTGAGCTGTGTGATCCGAAAATTCAAAGTAATCACAAGGCGAAACATGGTCATCATCCTTTCCTCAACAAGGGATAAACTTTCTGAATCCATGTTAGCTTCTGTGGTTCTAGATTATTCTTGCATATAGATAATCCTGCCATTTATGTCTGATCACTTTTTGAAGTATGGCTGCTGAGAAGGACTAAGGGCCAAACATGTGCATATGAAACACAGGACTCTGGCAAATGTGGGGAACTTGGAGACAGGCCAACATGGTGGCAATGTTCAGAAAGAGGGATAAACAGTCACAGTTCCATTCATTTTACATCTGTCTCAAAATAATGGAAGCATCCAGGAATAAACTGCAAATTAACTGTACAATTATAAACGAGTTAAGAACAGTGAAAGAGAAAGAGAAGATCTTGTTTGACCAACCCTTCTGACTTCTTCAAGGCATAGACAAATTATAGACTTCTTGAAATTCTCACAATAGCATGCACCAAACTTTCCAAAGGGCATTCAACAAAGTTTCATTTACACCATTCTCAGCCAAAATCAATGCTGAAAAGTTCTCGAAACAGATACGGAATTGATTGAAGCTCAGGAAACAATGAGTAATCATTATTTTGCTGGGACAGAGAGGGGGAAGTTATTGAGTGGGATCTGATTCAAGGTTTTAATGGCTTTACTTTATTGAATTGAATTGAATCAAATTGAATTAGCTTTATTGCTACATGTACTCAAATGAGTACAAAGAAAAGTTTGTAAATTGCCACTTACAGCGATATCTTAGGTACAAAGGTACCTAGGTACTATACTTAGTTACAGCATACAGAAATGAAGAAAAGAAAAGTTATAATACAGCTATGCACAGTATGACCACAGATCAGAAAAAAATACAAGAAGCAACATTAAAAAGACAAACATCAGAGTCTCTCTCCAAGGGCTCTCTGCAGCAGACCAGAGCAAGAGGCCTCCACATGGTCTGACCACTCACTGCCACCACGCACCGCATTGGGCCACTGGCATCATCGCTCTGGCCACTTGTGTTGCTGACAACCAGAGGCCAGGGGTGGATTTCCGAGGCCAAGAGAAGGGAGGACAGATTGAGAAAACAAATGAAAAAGGAGAAAAAGAATGGGCGGAGCAGAGGAGCTCCGGCTGGTGCGTTCAACTTCACCACCATCTTATTGTTGACTTGAATCGCAAGACACAAAGTAAAATGGTCAAATTTGCAAAGGACCCAAAATAGGAGAGGAAACGAGATCAGTAGGAGTATTGTGGATTTTGCAAAATCAGTGTAGTGGCTGATTAAGATCAATGCAGACATTGGGAGAACTGATTTGTTTTCGGCACACATGTGAATTGGATCCTGAAACATTTTGAAAGACCCCTTGGCAATAGGAGATAGAGCAAATTGTCTTTTCTTTAGAAGGTTGTGAATTATTTTAGAAGGTAGTGAATTGTCTCAGCTGCTGTGGTGACATTTGTCATGGCTGTCAAAATGTCAGCAGAGTTTTCAGCACAGATTGTTGAATGTGGATCAGGCTGCAGCCTCCTCAGTGAAATAGAAATTCTTAATAAAGATTTTTTTTTCAAGTTTTGGAGATACAGAGCATCATCCAGGCAGGGAAATGTCTGAAGGAAGAGCAGTATAACTGTCATAACATTGTGTGAACACAGTTTGACAAGGTTCTCCAATAGATTTCAGACCTCAGTATGTGCTATGCTGTATATAAAAACCCCAATCCCCTCAATTAGATTACAGTCTGTAACTCGATCCCCGTCATGTTATGCTATGTATAAACTCACTGAGAACATCAATGAGATTCCAGTCTCGAACTCAGTATAAACGAAATGGTTGAATATTAGACTGGGAGCTGGAACAGACAAAGCTGCAGTTTAATTTCTGCCACATTCCATTTTACCAGAAAATTTATGGAGTGCAGTGGTTCAATAAGGCAGCTCACTCCCACCTTCTCAAGTGCTGATAGGAATCGGGGATAAATGCTGGTCCAGCCAATGATGCTCACATCCCGACAATAAATGAAAAGAAAATCCCTTTTCCTTCCTAATCACTCTCAGCCCATGCAGAATAACTCAATGTGATTGATATCCCAGGACAGCCAGATCCCTCTGTACTTCAGAGCCCTGCAACATCTCCCATTTAAATTAAAGTCTCTTCATTGATTCTTCCTAACAAACATCACAGTCTCCACTTTATATTGTATCAGACAATGTTTTATCTACTCACTGACCTTCTGTATATCGCTTAATTTGAATACTCCTTACGTTCTCTTCATAATTTACCTTCCAAACAATTCTAACCAATAACATGTTCAATTTTTAAATCAAAGACTGTGACCTGATTTGATGCTTGTTGGAAATCCAAAGTCTGTCTGCTCCTCTCTTCCCTCCTGGAATATCTCCCCTCCCCGACACTAATTATACTTGTCAATAATATGGAAGAGGCTGCTCATAATATTAAACAGACACTTACATTTTCAACTACAACTTTAAATTACGTTCTCTATTTTAACTTGCTGTCTACTCTGTCACAATAAATCAAGTGCATGATGTTTAGTAGAGGCATGCGTTGTATGGGAGCCATTTGATATTCACAAACCTAGTGCAGCCTCTGTTGTGGCTCAGTTGGTTGTATTATTGCCCCTGTATTATTATTAGCAGCTGCTGCCCAGGCTCAGTGGGGGAAAACCAATACCTAAGGTTATTCTGCCAAAGCCCAATCAGTGTCCATTTAATTATCAGACCCTCTCTCAAATGTATATAAATAGTGCCCTGCATGAGTAGAAAATGCATTTGGTTTCTATAACTGCAGGGAATGTCAAATTACAATGTTTGTTTTCTCTTTATATGCAAAGACTGTATAGAACCATTTTAGTACCTGTGTGTGCACATAAGGATTTTTTTATTAATGAAGTATATTTTCATAACATAAAAAAAGTCCTGAGCCTTGTCATTCAGTACATGGATCTCAAGGGCTGCTTTGTTTCAGGAATTTGAATGGATCTTCCCACAGCATTAGCACCACTGCTTCTCTCTACTCACCTGGATCTGCTTGCTATCCTTTCATTCATCTAATGTACCAGTTTTTTTCTTTATTCTTTCATGGGATTTGGGCATCACTTAGCAAATCCAGCATTTGCTCCCCATCCCTAATTGCCTTTGAACTTGTTAGGCCATTTTGGAGGGCAATGAACAGTAAATAATGTTGCTGTGTGTCTGAAATCACCTTTTTTTATTTCAAAAATATACTTTATTCATAAAAATCTTTATGCACATACATAGTCACTAGAACAATTTGATTTTGTACAGTCTTTACATACATAGAACAAACAAACCCAAGGCATTTCCTACTTATACAAGTTTATATTTATATACATTTGAGGCATCAGGAGGGTCCAATAACTGAATGGACCCCCGTTGTACTTTGGTAGGAGGACATTATACAGTGGTCTTTCCCCACTGTACCTTGGCAGCAGCTGCCCAATGCTTTAGTGCATCCCTCGGCACACAGTCCTTGACTTTGGAATGTGCCAGTCTGCTACACTCAGTCAAGGGCCACCCCTTGTTCTGGAAGACCAACAAATTTCCAGTAGACCAAAGAGAGTCTTTCACTGAGTTGATGGTTTGCCAGGCACAGTCGATGTTTGTCTCAGTATGCATCCCGAGGAACAGACCGTAGAGAACAGCATCCTGCGTCATGAAGCTGCTCGGGATGAACCTCAGCTAAAACCACTGCATCTTTCTCCAGACTTCCTTTGCAAAGGCATATTCCGGAAGGAGATGAGTGACAGTTTCTACCTCCCCTGCAGCTGCTTCACGGGCAGCACGCAGTGGTGCAGAGAGTCTGGGCGTACATGAGGGATGTCACAGGTAGTGACCTTCCCACCGCCAGCCAGGCCATGTCTTGGTGCTTGTTGGAAAGTGCTGGTGAGGAGGCATTCTGCCAAATTACTTTGACAGTCAGCTCGGGGAACCACACAACAGGATCCACCCTCTCGTTTTCCCACAGGATCTTGGACTTGTGTTCAAAGGTGTTTTTCTTCTCAAATTTCTCCATGAAGGAAGGGTGATATGGAATGGCCCAACTACTTGGAATATTCCATGGCAACGAGACCAGTCCCATCTTTCACAATACTGGGGACAGGTAGAACCTCAGTATGTGGCGACACTTGGTGTTTGTGTAGGCAGGGTCTACGCACAGCTTGACGCAGTCGCACAGAAAGATGGCTGAAATTACTTGTTTTTTTATTGCAAAAATATACTTTATTCATAAAATATCTTTATAAACATACATAGTCACTAAAGGAGTTCAGTTCTGTACAGTACCCTTATAAAAAAACAAATCATATGTAGCCCCCAACCAGGTAAGGACAGCAAGTTTCCTTCCCTGTGGGACGTAGAGTCATAGAGACTTACAGCATGGAAACAGACCCTTTGGTCCAACTCGTCCATGCCAACCAGATATCCTAAATTAATCTAGTCCCATCTGCCAGCATTTGGCCCATATCCCTCTAAACCCTTCCTATTCACGTGCCCATCCAGATGCCTTTTAAATGTTGGAATTGTACCAGCCTCCACCACTTCCTGTGGCAGCTCATTCCATACACGCACCAGCCTCTGTGTGAAAACGTTGCCCCTTAGGTCCCTTTTAAATCTTTCCCCTCTCACCTTAAACAAATGCCCTCTACTTTTGGACTCCCCCACCCAGAGGAAAAGAGTTTGTCTACTTACCTTATCCATGCCCCTCATGATTTTATAAACCTCTATAAAGTTGCCCCTCAGCTTCTGGCAATCCAGGGAAAATAGCCCCAGTCTATATGCAGCCTCTCCCTATAACCCAAATCCTCCAACCTTGGCAACATCCTTGTAAATCTTTTCTGAACCCTTTCAAGTTTCACAACATCCTTCCTAAAGCTCTACGGCTGAAATGAATTTTCTATTCATTTGGATGATTTAGTGGAAGTTTAACCTTCCCCACTAGCCTCACTTGAGGAGCCTTATTAAAATGGGTCAGGGAGCAGGTGATGGCACAGAAGGAGGCCACTAACTCCATCGAGTCTATGTTGTGTAGTAATTCAGTCATTTTATTCTCTTAGTCCTGCAAGTTTATTTCCTCAAATGCCCATCCAATTAGGTAAGTAAATGGAATCTATTGGATTCCATTGCTTACTCATCCAATTTACCATCTAAAATAATTCCAGCAAGTTTGTAAAATGCCCCTTTCTATTTCCAAAACACTCGCAGTCTATGCCCCAGATACTTGTGCTCTTTAGATCCACGCTTATCACATGTTCTGAGCACATTTTCCCGAAATAGAAATTAGGTTGATCAATCTGGAGTTACTAAGTTTGTGTCTTTTTAAATTCAGAGACTGCACTTGCTTCAGGCATGACTCCAGTGTGCAAAGAACTCTTAAAAATAGCACCAAAGCCACATTATTTCCTCCTTTCATTCTCTGACAATTCCAGGAATAAGGACCACCTAATTCGCCGTAATCTCAGAATAAGAGTACACATGTATAAAACAAAGATGAGGAGTAATTTCTCTCAGAGCATAACGAACCCATAGAATTCTTTATTGCAGAGGGCTATAGAGGCATTAAGTATATTCAAGAATGAGATAGACAGATTTTTAATCAGTAAGGGTATCAAGGGTTATGGGGAAAATGCAGGAAAGTGGGGTTGAAAAGTCCTGACTTCATGACATGTTCTCATGGAATGAGTCAAATGTTTGCGAAAAATCTGTGCAGCACATCACCTTGTGCTAGCTCTAGGATGGAGCTAGGAGCAGAAAGGCACATGGTATTAGGATGGCTGTTCACAGGGAAGGTACAAGGACCACAAATGTAGCAGAGAATTACAGAGGCTCACAAAAGGAAACCTCTGTTGGATTGTGAGGTTTAATTGTTTGGTGAGATGCTTCAGCATTTAGTGGGGATGTGGATCCACTGTAAGTTTGTACCTGTGGGATGACAGTTGGCCAAATAGCTATTGTAATATTTCACTGTGATTGTAAGGTACTGTGAGTTCCCAGTGTGTAGCAATGTTTGCCCTTGCTCATATGTAACATATGGTTGTCAACATTGTAGGAATACAGTCATGAAATAACCTGAATTTCACGGCTTACAGCATAACAGATGAATGAAAAGTGCTTAATTTCTCCACAATTTCTGTATGAAATATTTTATTTATCAAAGGTGCTTTCAGTTTATGCATAAATTTGCTTTACTAATCCCTACACATGGTTTTGATTCTTTAGCTATGGTTATGGTCATTCCTGTCTTCTTTAGTTAAAATAACCTTTAAGTAAATGCAATATATCTGTTATATCTTAGTTATCTGCCAAATTTGAATAATCTAATTACAGATGCTGTCTTAAGGAGGATCAAATTAGACAGAAAACATTAACTATTTCTCTCTCCAAAGATAATGCCAAACCTGTTGAGTTTCTCCAGCAATTTTTTTAAATTTCAGATACTGTCTGACCTGCTGGGTATTTCCAGCTTTTCACTTTTTGTTCCTAATCATCTTCATTGTATTAGTTATTGTATCCTTTCATAGTGTGTGCAGGTGGAGCTGTGTAAGCCCTGGGTGTAAACCAATTAACATATTGAATTCAAATCTAAACACTTGGAAAACCACTAACAAGACACTGATTGTGCATAAACATGCCTACAGACATTCATGGAGGGTGTTGAATTTCACAGGCAAAACCAAACACAAGGGCATGAAGTATTGAAGGAAAACAGAAATTGCTGGAGAAACTCAGCAGGCCTGGCAGCATCTGTGCAGAAAGAAGCAGAGTTTTGGTTCAAGATCAGTGTGACCTTGCTTCAGAACTTGAACATGAACTCTGCTTCTCTCTGCACAGGTGCTGCCAGGCCTGCTGAGTTTCTCCAGCAATTTCTGTTTATGTTTCAGATTTCCACCATCGGCAATTTTTTGTTTTATTTTGCACAAAGTGTTAGTTAAGAATGAAGGACACATTGGGGAGGGGGAGGGAAGTTCAGATTTAAAGAACGAAAGCAGGTCATATACGAGGGGGCAAAAGCAGAAATTGCTGGAGAAACTCAGCAGGTCGGCAACGTCTGTGGAGAGAGAGTTAAATGTTTCGAGTCCGGAGACCTTTGGAAGATCGTGTTATCTGCAATAAGGTGGGACGACTTCCCCAAGTACTTTGTCGACCCGTTTCCCAATTTATTTCTGATCAGATTAGGATTTAGAAGTTTCTGCTTGGATGGGAGATTGCGTGTGGGATATTGAATGAGTCGGATGCACGTAGCATAGAAATGGACCTGGTAATGCATGCAGATAAAGTTCACGATTGCAGACAGAAGCGGAGTCGAGGAATTAGTATTGTTACAGATTTTAAAAAATATATATATTGCGCCCTTAGGTGGCGTAGGATAGACCTGGGTTTTTCTTTCCTCCTGTTGAGGAACTCAGACGTCTGTCTCTCTCCCAATCTCATGTTTCAGTTTGCGGAAGGACCTCGGAGCTGGGCAGGAGGTGTGGTTCTTATTTGAATATCAGGTGAGGAGATGGTGATATCTGGTGTTACCCAGGGCCGAGAGATAGACAGTCATCACACAGCAGCCCAGGGGTTAGATCTCAACAATGTGGCACCTCCTTGCACTGGGCTGCCTCTTCTTCCCCTGTCTGTTCATCCTCACCCGGAGATCCTTGCAGAAAAACTTCCCAGAGTTAACAGATGTGGACACCGTCAACATCAGTGTCAGGTAAATGCACCTTTCATTACTTTGTACTGTGCTAGCGGGGCGGGGGAGGTCAAAGTGATTTTATTTCTTCTTAGGGGCTTGCAGTTTTTCCCCTTTCCCCAGTGAATTGACCCCAATTTCTAACCATTGCTTTGCTGTGTCGCCTTCTCAGCGATGAGCAGACCTGATGGGATCTTTCCCTCCTGCACTGTGCTTCCTCCTGCAAAAGTTACACCTTGACAATGAGGCAGGAAAAGTTTTACACAGAGTCTCACAGCTGCTTTCAAATGCCTGCTGTAGCTCACGGGACTGTTTCTGATTTCTTACCAACTGCCAGGGCATTTCCTTTGTTAATGGGACATGGAAGCCTGGAAAATAGGAGCAGGAGTAGGCCATTCAGCCCTCTGAGTCTGCTCCCCAACTCGGTGTGATCATCCAACTCAGTAGTCTGTTCCCATTGAAATCACCGTAGAATTCCTACAGTGTGGAAGCAGGCCATTCAGCCCCCTCGCGTCCACACCTATCCCCTGAACAAGATCTTACCCAGACCCACCGCATCCCCGTAACCCCCCACATTTCCCACGGCTAACTCACCTAGCCTGCACACTATGGGCAATTAATCATGGCCAACCCACCAAACCTGCACATCATTGGGCTGTGGGAGGAAACCCACACAGACACAGGGAGAATGTGCAAACTCCGCACAGGTAGCCACCCCAAGGCTGGAATTGAACCCAGGTCCCTGGTGCTGTGCTGACCACTGAGCCACAGTGCTGCCCTGATTGATTCCTTTAGCCCTAAGAAACATATCTTAACTCCTTGAGAACATTCAATATCAATTCCATTCAATTATTCTGTGGCAGAGAATTCCACAGGCTCTCCACTCGAGGTGAAAATATTTCTCCCCATCTCGCCATCACAGTTCTAATGGAACTTGCTGGCGGCAACTTGGTTTGTCTGCAAAATAATAGGCTGCACTTCAAATCTAGAAATGAAAAGAAATCCTCTGGGCTGTAGGGTGTTTTGGGGCTTTCTGAGAATGGAACGATAATTGCATGTTAAGCTGCAATGCCAGATCTGACCTGTAAAGACCCTGAACCTGCAATGGGTAGGCCCTGGAGTACAGACTAAGAAGGTTCGACAACAGAGCCACCACCCAGTCAGTTCTGAAGAAGGGTCCTGACCCGAAACGTCAACTTTCCTGCTCCTCTGATGCTGCCTGGCCTGCTGTGTTCCTCTGGCTCCACACTGTGTTGACTCTGACTCTAGAATCTGCAGTTCTTGCTATCAGCCAGGCAATTAATGCCCCCCATCACCCTCCCCCGAGTGCAGATGTGTATGGGTTTTTATTTTTATTTTAACAATGTATTTGAGATGCTAATCGATGGCTCAGTGCCCTAAGGGGTCTGGCTGGCACTTGCGGTAATTCTGTTCCCTTCTGACTGCTGGGGCTTGATCCACTGGGATTAGATGGTGTGCCAAGCAACGTCGATGGGCATCTCTCATCATCCAGCCTCGGCTTCCTGCCTCTGTCAGCAATTCCAGCCCTCAGCTCAGAAAATGAGGATCTGCTCCCAGAACAATGCAGCAGTGGCGGGTAGAAGCTGGATCTGGGAAGATTGGTGTCTGTGGAATTGTCTTATTCAGGGAAGCAGGGCCATTGAATATTTTAAAGGGGAAGTTGAATAGACTGTTGACTGGCAAGGATATCAGTGGCGAGGCCAAAAAAACTGGAGTTAGTTCAGTTGGCTGGATGGCTGGTTTGTGATGTAGGGTGACTCTAGCCGTCTGGTTCAATTCCTACACCAGCTGAAGGACTCTCCTTAATCTCTGCCCTCACCTGAAGTCTGGTGACCCGTGGATTAAAGCACCCCGTCACCCCCCAGTAGTGTCTCTCTCTGTCTAAGAGAGAGCAGCCCCTGTGGTCTGCTAAGACTGTGGTAATTTTACCTTTCAAATGTTTGCTGTCTGGTGGAAATTTTGTTTCTGTGCATTAATGGGGACCCTGCTGCACTTCCAGGAAAATTATCGTAGCTCAATAGGTATCAAGAACATAAGAAATTTGTTGCTCAGACCTTTGAGAAAAGGAGTTGGGATGTCATATTGAGGTTGTACAGGATGTTGGTGAGGCCCCTTCTGGAGTACTGTGTCCAGCTGTAGGAAGGATATTAATAAGCTGGAGATGGTTCAGAAGAGATTCACCAGGATGTTGCCGGAAATGGAGGGTTTGAGTTATGAGGATAGGCTGGGACTTTTTTCATTCGAGCCTAGGAGGTTTAGAGGTGACCTTATAGAGGTTTATAAAATAATGAAGGGTATAGATAAGGTGAATGGCAGGTGTATTTCCCCTAAGATGGGGTATTTCAAAACAAGGAGGCATATTTTTAAGGTGAGAGGAGAAAGATCTAAAAAGACACGAGGGGCAATTTTTTTTTACGGAGAGTGGTTCATGTGTGCAATGAACTTCCAAAGGAAGTGGTGGATGCAGGTACAACTTTTACAAGACATTTGAATAAGTACATGACGAGGAAAGGTTTGGAGGGATTGGGCCAAAAGTAGGCAGGTGGGACTAGTTTAGTTTGGGATGATGGTCAGCACGGACTCGTTGGACCAAAGGGTCTGTTTCCGTGCTGTATGACTCTAAATAAAAGCTGGTCATTTCGCCACTGAAGCCTGCTCCACCATTCAATAAGATCATGCTGGATCTGCTTAGGACCTCAACTCAAATTTCCTGCATGAGCCCCTTGTGAGTGCAGCTCCCAAATGTATTTCTGGCTGAGATAATACAGTGTGGAGCTGGAGGAACACAGCAGGCCAGGCAGCATCAGCGGAGCAGGAAAGTTGATGTTTCGGGTACTTTCTCTATTTCTGGCTGAGGTGTTTGACTTTTCTTGGTGACAAGTTGCGGGAGATCAACCTGCTTGTACTAATAAATTAATACAACTCTAAGATCTGATAACATCAATATAATACATCAACATCAATATAATGTTGCTTACACAACATTATTACTGAGCTAAACTGGTACAAGATTTAAAAGTCTAACCATAAAGTATGGCCAAAAGTTTAGAGTGTGTGAATTAAAAAGAAGTTGGTTTTTAGCCACAAAAATAATGGTGAGGCAATAGTATTGACAATTATTTATTTGGAAATGCTACAGCAATTTCAAATAAAGAGTAGATGCAAAGTTAAATGTAAATATTCAAAAGGTTGTTGCTGCCTGAGCTGTGCCTAGCTGCTAAACTGAATGAATGTGACATTTGTTTGCCTCACTGTTAAAATGCACTGAACACCTGAAGTGTTTGCAGCTCAACTTTCTCCCCTTTAAATCCTTGTCCCCCAGTTATAGAGGCTAACGTTCCATGTAAGGAACCATGAGAATCTAGGAGGGTGCGAGAGGTATAAAGAACAGCAAAGGAAGATCAAAACAGGAAACTAAAAGGGAATCCGAAACAAACTTCAGGAGGACATCAGGTTTAATGCAAAATGCTCTTATAATTTAGGTCAGAAGAAATATGGCAGTCAAGGTTAATGTGGGCTTTTGGAAGCTATTGATGGAAACACCTGCATGTAAGATACAGACAAAACCTGTCCACACCAGACTTATTGTTTCAATTCTATATATCCTTTTAATAATAAATTAATTACTTACAATCAACCTCTCTGGCACTGAAAATAAAATGTGGAGTATTGAAATCAAACTGGTTTTTCAAAGTGAAATTATGGTATACATTTCTGCTCAGAGATAGCAAGAACCACAGATACTGGAGACAGAGATAACACAGTGTGGAGCTGGAGGAACACAGCAGGCCAGGCAGCATCAGAGGAGCAGGAAAGTTGACATTTCGGATCGGG